AAACGTGATGGTTTGCTGGAAGCCTCTGTCCTAATTTTTGTCTTGGGTTACATATGCTTAGGATACTTTTGGCTAACATTCTGGACTGTGGAATCGTTGTGTAAAAAGTGTTTTTGATTGTGGCCTTTGATGGGCCTCTCTTTGGACCAGCTGTTGGGGGCTACTGGGGCAAAAGCACTCGTCTTTGTCAACAGAAAAAGCTTAAGGGACAGACTGAGAAGTCTTCTCCCTCTCTATCTGTAGCAGAATAGAAGATGGACAAGGGCGCAGGAAGGAATTAAAAGCTGAATAGATTTATTGGAACAGATGGCACTTTCATAGAAGTAGCCTGTCTCCATCCTAAGTAACATCCACAGAGGCACAATGTTGCAGCAGCCAGGAGGTCACATGCAGCACAGAATGGTAACTGCTAAGCCCTGGTGTCGGCACGCTGCACCAGCTTCCGGAGCTGTCAGATTGCAAAGGCAACACCATCTTTGTCAAACCTGCCCATGCTGTATGACTGCAGGATTGTTAATCTAGAATTCTGCTGAGCGAAGCAGCGTGGTACTGAAACAGAGTTCTACCATTCCAATCAAAATCAATAAATGTTCATTCAGTCATCCTGGATCTTTGTGAAGTCTTTGCAAGACTGTTACATTATGGACTATATAAACTGATGGACTTTGCTGAATATTACAGATCAAGTGCTAATTTCATGTGCGCTATTGTTTGTCATTGTACCCCTCTAACTGTCCCTTTTGTTTTTCCACTCCCTTGACTTCTGCGATTAAGCCCAGTGTGGTTAAAACATGTCAGAGTAGCTAAAGCCTGTCTTTCGTATACTTCACACCCGAGTTGAATACAGTGTGTGGCTATACTTGTATGCTGTATTGTATCTTGCAACGAGATGTGCTCTGCCTCTGCCAGCACCTAAACACAGAGTGTAAACCCAGGAGACTGATATTGCTGGCTTGGAGCATTGCCCATCTGTTATGGTACCCTCAATCTTGTTGTCAATATCCGAGTTTGGCTCCCGTTCACCTGCAAGACCTGGCACTGCCTACCAAATCCTTCCTCTGCATAAAAGTATGCCCTCGTTTTCCAGAATCGGGGAAAACCTGTGTGAAAAGAGTGTGAATGTTTAGATGGCTTGCATCTCTGACTAGACTGCAAAGTCTTCTTCCTCTCTCTTTTTTTTTTTCCCTCCACTTCTTTGACCTTGTGGTCAAGACCCTCCAAGTTTTGGCTTCTCATCCACTCGCAAAACCCGGTACTTGGTCTGCCAAATCCTTAAGCAATTCTTCCTCTGCATAAGGATGTGACCCATTTTTCTAGAGTAGGGGAACACCTGTGGAAAAAACCTGTGTGGATGTTTGGACAACTTGCATCTGCAATGCTTAGGTGCAAGAGGTGGTATCCCAAAGCTACAAACTGGAGTTCTGCTTCCAGCCCCTTCCTGGGTTTCTCACCCTCAACATTCCTGTGTCACAGATTAGAAGGTCTCTGTTGAACCCTCCTGGGTCTTTTGGATCAAGATGTCATTACACCAGTTCCTGTGGCAGAATGGGTGCAAGGGTTTTACTCCGCTCTTTTCACCATGTTTAAGCCAAAAAGGGGTGTTCACCCTGTTCGAGATCTCAGTGCTCTGAATGTCTTCGTTAGGGTCAAGAAATTCTACATAGATTCTACCAAATCTTTCCACACCTCCCTTCTGTGGACCTTAAAGACCTACATGTCCACCGTTTTCCTGTGCATCAACCGTTCCTATACTTTGCCGTGGGGCCCCTGCACTAGGCAATAGTGGCCCTGCCTCTTGTTTGCATTTTGAGGGGATTCAGAGTGCTGAACACAGTAGTATCCCCACTACAGTGCCTTGAAAAAGTGTTTATATCCCTTGAAATTTCACACATTTTGTCATGTTTCCAAAAACATAAATGTATTTTATTGGGATTTTATGTGATAGACCAACACAAAGTGGCACATAGTTGTGAAGTGGAAGGAAATGATAAATGGTTTTAAACATTTTTTTACAAATAACTGAAAAGTGTGGCGTGCATTTTGTATTCACCCTTTCACCCACCCCTTCCTTCTCTCTCCGATCCTTTCACCCACCCCCCTTCTCCTCTCTCCGATCCTTTTACCCACCCCTCCCTTCCTTCCTTCCTTTCACCACTCCCTTCCTCCCACCACTCCCTTCCTTTGACCCATACCTTCCTCCCCTCCCCCTCCGTCCGTCCTTCCTTCCCCTCCCGTCCGTCCTTCCTTCCCCTCCCGTCCGTCCTTCCTTCCCCTCCCGTCCGTCCTTCCTTCCCCTCCCGTCCGTCCTTCCTTCCCCTCCCGTCCTTCCTTCCTCCCCTCCCCTCCTTCCTATCACCCACCCCCCCCTTCCCTCCAATTCTAACTTCCACCCCTCCCTTCCCTCTGATCCTTCCTTCCACCCCTCCCTTCCCTCTGATCCTTCCTTCCACCCCTCCCTTCCCTCTGATCCTTCCTTCCACCCCTCCCTTCCCTCCGATCCTTCCTTCCACCCCTCCCTTCCCTCCGATCCTTCATTCCACCCCTCCCTTCCCTCCGATCCTTCCTTCCACCCCTCCCTTCCCCCGATCCTTTATTCCACCCCACCCCTCCCTTCCCTCACACCCACCCATCCCTCTCTGCCTGCCTGCTTCCCTTCCTCCCTCCCTGCCCCCCTCCCTCTCTGCCTGCCTGCCTCCCTCCCTCCCTGCCTCCCTCCCTCTCTCCCCCTGCCTCCCTCCCTCCCTCCTCCCTCCCCTCCCTCCCTTTCCCTCCCTCCTTCCCTCTGCCTCCCTTCCTCCCTCCCTCCCTCTCTGCCTCCCTCCTTCCCTCTCTGCCTCCCTCCCTCCCTCCTTCCCTCTCTGCATCTCTGCCTCCCTCCTTCCCTCTCTGCCCTCCCTCCTTCCCTCTCTGCCTCCCTCCCTCTCTCCCTCCCTCTCCCTCCCCCTCCCTCTCCCTCCCTCCCTCCCCCCCCCCCTCTCTCTCTCTCTCCCTCCCTCTCTCCCTCCCTCCCTCTCTCCCTCCCTCCCTCTCTCCCTCCCTCCCCTCCCTCCCTCCCTCCTCCCTCCCTCCCTCCCTCCCTCCCTCCTCTCCCTCCCTCCCTCTCTCCCTCCCTCCCTCTCTCCCTCCCTCCCCCCTCCCTCTCTCCTCTCCCTCTCTCCCTCTCTCCCTCTCCCCCTCTCTCCCTCTCCCTCTCTCTCCCCCCTCTCTCCCTCCCTCTCCTCTCCCTCCCTCTCTCCTCTCTCTCCCTCCCTCTCTCTCTCTCTCCCTCCCTCTCCTCCCTCTCCTCCCTCCTCCCTCCCTCCCTCCCTCCCTCCCTCCCCTCCTCCCTCCCTCTCTCCCTCCCTCTCTCCCTCCCTCTCTCTCTCTCCCTCCCTCTCTCCTCCCCTCTCTGCCTCCCTCTCTGCCTCCCTCCTTCCCTCTCTGCCTGCCTGCCTCCCTCTCTCTCTGTCTGCCTCCCTCCCTCCCTTTCTCCCTCCTATCCTCCCCTCCCTTTTTCCCTTACCATCCTCCCCTCCCTTTCTCCCTCCCATCCACCCCTCCCTTCCTTCCATTTCCTTCCTTCATTCTGCATAAAACATGTAACACTGCCATTTCATGAGATAATTTGCGAGGGCCTATTTAGGGGCGAGGCAGGTTAGGGGTTGGGTGGGGCAACTGGGGGCGAGTAACTCTTTAAGTCCTGCTAGTAGCTCAGGACTTCAAATTTTGATCCCTGGTCTATCACATAAAATCCCAGTAAAATATATTTACGTTTTTGGTTGTAACATGACAAACTGTGGAAAATTTCAAGGGGTATGAATACTTTTTCAAGGCACTTTTAATTCTAGTATCCCTATTGTGGCTCTCAGCAGTATTAGATCATTTTGCTGGAGGGTCATCCAATCCTGATTTAGTCAGACAGTGCCACTGCGGTGGCATACACAAGGGCCCATTCACCCCTGAAACTGCATGTTTACTGCATGTTTTTGCATCTGCTGCGACATGCATTTGACACGTGTTTCTTACACATATTTGCATGCATTTGCATTTTTCCTAGGCTTACATTTTCTTTGAGGTCGCCATCTTCTTTCTTCTTTGGGCTTTTATGTGCACTGCATTGCAGTGCATTTTTATTTATTTACATGCATTTGTGTGCATTTGCAGTGTAGAAGAATACAGCTTGCTGTATTTTAACTGCACTGCAATAGTATGAACTATACTAATAGGATAACTTGGAATGTGGACTGTCTATGCAGTTGGAGTGCAGTCAAACATGCACCCAACTGCATCTGGTATGAATGGGTCCATAATCATCAAAGAGGAGAAGTCTTGCACAGCAAGAGGTAGAGCGGATTTTGTCCTGGTCAAAATCTCACATCTAGTCTTGTCGCCCTTGTAGATTCAAGATGTAGGTACTTGTATACTTACATGGGTCTAAGATGAAAAATTGTACACTTTTTTTTTTTTGATTCTTGGTATTTTTAAAGCTGAATTCCATGTGTTATCTTAATTAAATACTTGCAATTGTTTAGCTTGGACCCATGTTGGTATGCATACCTGAGGGACTGCTGTGAAAGTTGACAATCAATGTAGTAGTCCTGTGCAAGGCATTCTCTGATCGTACAAATTGAAAAGCATAATGTCGCTATGCTTCCTCTCTACCTCGTCTAATCCAAGAATGTCTCTGATTTTCATTGAAAAACGTTCAAGGAGTGTGTGACCTGCTCTGGCCCATATGCAATTGGTCAGCCACTCAGCAGAGGTGGTCACTGTAGTAGCACAGACTATTGCAGTAATAGTCAGCTGCCACAGCAGTCCCTCAGGTGTGACCCCTGATATTGGGGGGGGGGGGGGGGGGGGAATTAAAACATGGAGTTACTCTTTAAATTTTTTAATAATGGGTTTATGTTCCGAAAACTATTTACTTCCTAATACTTCCTGTTACTGTAACCTTTGCATATCTGTTATAAATATTTTCCTTTACTAAATCATTTTTTTATTTGTTCTTTTCTTTGCTACAGGTACCAGCAGACAGGTGTTCGGTGGCTCTGGGAACTGCATTGCCAGCAGGCAGGAGGCATTCTGGGAGATGAGATGGGATTGGGCAAAACGATCCAGATAATTGCTTTTCTGGCAGGCCTAAGCTCCAGCCGGATAAGGACGCGAGGCTCTGATTACAGGCAAGTGGCTGTCCTGTAGTCTGCCAGTCTGAGCCTGTCATGAATATTTCATCAGAATTATTACAGAGAGGGGGCGTACCTGCTGAATTATTCATTGCATTTCAATTAGATAGTTCCTTTAATTCGTTTAGTGAAGGTGGGGGGTGCTTTAAAGGCAGTTAATGACAAGGAGGGGAGTTGCAGGGCACGGGAAATTAAAGAGCTAACACTAGTAATGAATTCTTGGCTTGTGCATCTGTGTCTGACAATTCAGTACATGTCTTTCAGCTTAGCTGCTTGATACCCAAGATACCAGGTTTTTGGCCATAGAAATATAGACAGACACAGAGTGAAATAAACTCTTGGACAAAGAAAGCAAAGATGAATGCAGCAGTGTATGCTAGCAGAGATGTTTTACACTCAAAATTTTTTAATTATAATTTTTTTTTCTTAACCACTTCCAGCCCTTCGGCTGTACATATTTAGCCTGCGGTGGAGGTGGTTATACCAGTATCATGGCTGCATTCTGGTATCAAAATTTTCAGTGGATGACTGGCTTTTATGTAAAAGTGATCCAAGCCCAATGAATTTTGCAGGGTGTGGAAGAGGGACCCCCTCCTCTGCACCTGCTTGCCACTGTTCCTGAGCTCTCCCATTCCATCAGGAGGCGTGGGACCACTGCAGACAGGGAGGAACATCCAATACTCCCCGCCCTCTGCCATGAATGAAGCTGGAAGTGATATGTGTTACGTCACTTTCAGTTTCGGTTCTTTGTTTACTGGCTGATATAGGCCAGAAAAGCATTTGATCAAATAGATCTGTTTGATCAGATGCTTTGGAAGGCAAAGCAGGGATCAGGGTCCTTATAGACCCCTGATCTCTCAATAAACAGTACCTACCACTGCCCCATCTATCACAAGGGATGATGGGGCAGTTTTTACCACATTTGAGGTGTGTTTTTTAAAGGTCACGTGACTCAAAAACGCACCACGGTGCATTTTTTTTATGCGTTTTTGCCTTGTTTGCCATTGATTTCAATGCTTTGGTATGTTTTTGGTGCGTTTTTTTTTTATTTTACCGCACCAAACCTGCTGCATCAAGCAGGATTTTTAAAAATGCACTTGACCTGCAACAGATCATTATGAAGAGTTTCATAGGAATATTTTTTTACATAAAATAAGGAAGAAAAAACGGATCAGTAGGAAAGCACCCTTAGAAATGGTGTGTGTGTGTGTGTGTGTGTGTGTGTGTGTGTGTGTGTGTGTGTGTGTGTGTTGTGTGTGTGTGTGTGTGTGTGTGTGTGTGTGTGTGTGTGTGTGTGTGTGGTGTGTGTGTGTGTGTGTGTGTGTGTGTGTGTGTGTGTGTGTGTGTGTGTGTGTGTGTGTGTGTGTGTGTGTGTGTGTGTGTGTGTGTGTGTGTGTGTGTGTGTGTGTGTGTGTGTGTGTTTTGTTTTAAATCCCAAGGAGGATTGTGTACTGCACTGTAAGCATTTGGCTTGTGCTTCCATTGACCTCTATGGGTGAGTTTGGCAGGTGGTGCCATCTGCCAAATTCTGCAAGCCACATTAAAATAGCTGTGGCCAGAAAGCAGAGTATTGCAGCTTTAGAATGTGTACAGCCTTGTCCGGCTGTACTGGTTTTAGAACTCGTTTACACGTGTGTTGCTTATGAAGAATGAAGTCATTCTCCTGTAATGTTTATGACGTGTTTATGAATCATTGAAAAGGCTTCAATGCCCATGGAAGTATTGCTTTTCTAGTGGGAAGTGATGAACAGAAAATTTCCGTTTTGGTATGTTGCTTTAGGATATATTACAATAATTATATAAAATGAACAACAGCAGCCATATAATCATACTCACTGTTGCTCTCTTGCTCCGTGGAGGACAGTTTTCCCAGTCTAAGGATAATACCCACTTGATGACATATTGCCAGATTTTTTTTTTTTTGATGCATCACAATAGCTAAGGATACTTGGTTCGTTAATAGTTTATTAAAAATAGCATGTATTGTATACTCACATTAATATCACAATGTATTGCTTTAAGAATGGTCAACGAACCTCCTCTCTTCATAATACGTGTATAACAGCGAGTCTCCTAGTGTATCTGACACATGTGATGATGTTCTCTACCTTGTAGGTTACACCCTAGGTGGGGCTTCATTATGTAAATGTGTGTTTGATACACATTTTGTTTGATTAAAATGTGTAAATATTAACACTTTTAGGTTTAGGGAGTCTCACATCTAGCCCTGCACATCTATCTACTTTATATATATATATATATATATATATATATATATATATCCTGCAAGGAAGGTGTCACCGCACACCACCAATCATACAGTAAGTGGTCGACCACATAGTATGTTTTGCTAAAGTCTGGGTGGTCTCACTTTTCATGCTGCAATATTGATCACTTAGAAGATGTCTTATATTTTTTTTTATAACATTGTAATATTCATGAAGATTGTGGTAATGCACGTTTTTTTTTTTAAATGTAAAAAATGTTTAGGTTTCGGGAGTCTCACTTCTAGCTCTTCTAGCGCTGCACAGTTATCACAAACAATCAAAAATTCCCAGCTCACTTACCCGCCAGGCTGCAAAGGCTAGTTTGTTAGGATATAGTTAGGATTTTTGTGGATTGATCCATTTGTGTCCAGCTGTTTGGTATAAATAATTTTAACACTTCTTTTATGGCTGTGCAGTAACACATCATAACTTTGACATTTCCTGCCTGGCACTGCCAGTAAATGGAGTTGCCACACAGCTGTTATGTACAGCCAGAAGTGACTGTATCCGCTCTGTCCCAGTTCTCTATCATTTCCTGGTGTATTCTGGGATACAGAAGCCTCCACTGTCTCTCCCCAACACTTTATAAATGCTTCACTAACACACCATAAATGCCCTAGGTTTCTGTTAAGGTGCAGTTATTGGGCATCACCATTGAAATCAATAGGGGTGGTTGACAAGCATCAATACCTTATGAAAGCGACATGCTGCTTAATTTTTAACACTACACAACACAATGCTACCACTCCTGTATGAACAGCACTGTATGTGGTACCATAGTAATATTCATGGCAAGTGTTGACAAGCAGTTATGAGGCTTTAGAGATGATGACTAAATGCTGTATAAACACAGGGTATTGACACATGTGTTAGAGTCAAGTGGGAGACTAGGAGGCAGTAACACCAAGGCCCAATGACCCCTTAAAAGAGCCTTAAGTGAACTTAACACACAATATTTCAGCTCTGGAGGGGAGCTATGTATGGATGGTTTTAGTTCTGTTTAAAAGGAGAAGTTTACTTTTTGGTAAAAATAAATAAATGCACTTATTTTTGCAGGCAAACATGTACATGCATTACAGTGCCTTGAAAAAGTATTCATAACCCTTAAAATTTTCCATATTTTGTCATGTTACAACCAAAAACATAAATTTATTTTATTGGGATTTTATGTGATAGACCAACACAAAGTGTCACATAATTGTGAAGTGGAAGGAAAATGATAAATGGTTTTCACAATTTTTACAAATAAATATCTGGAAAGTGTGGCATGCATTTGTATTCAGCCCCCTTTACTCTGATACCCCTAACTAAAGTCCACTTGTGTGTAATTTAATCTCCGTATAAATACGGCTCTTCTGTGAAGCCCAAAGAGGTTTGTTAGAGAACATTAGTGAATAAACAGCATCATGAAAGCCAAGGAATGCACCAGACAAGTCAGGGATAAAGTTGTGAAGTTTAAAGTAGGGTTACGTTATAAAAAAACATCCCAAGCTTTGAACATCTCACGGAGCACTGTTCAATCCATCATCCGAAAATGGAAAGAGTTTGGCACAACTGCAAACCTACCAAGACATGGCTCTCCACCTAAACTGACAGGCTGAGAAAGGATAGCATTAATCAGATAAAAAGCAGCCAAGAGGCCCATGGTAACTTTGGAGGAGCTGCAGAGATCCACAGCTCAGGTGGGAAAATCTGTCCACAGGACAACTATTAGTCGTGCACTCCACAAATCTGGCATTTATGGAAGAGTGGCAAGAAGAAAGCCATTGTTGAAAGAGCCTAGGAAGTCCCTTTGCAGTTTGCGAGAAGCCACATGGGGGACACAGCAAACGTGGAAGAATGTGCTCTGGTCAGATGAGACCAAAATGGAACTTTTTGGCCTAAAAGCAAAATGCTATGTGTGGTGGAAAATTAACACTGCACATCACCTTGAACACACCATCCCCACTGTGAAATGGTGATGGCAGCATCATGTCATGGGGATGCTTTTCTTCAGCAAAGGCAGGGAAGCTGCTCAGAGTTGATTGGAAGATGGATGGAGCCAAATACAGGGTAATCATAGAAGAAAACCTGTTAGAGTCTGCAAAAGACTTGAGACTGGGGCAGAGGTTCACCTTCCAGCAGGACAACAGCCCTAGGCATACTGCGAGAGTTACAATGGAATGGTTTCGATCAAAAGCATAGTCATGTGTTAGAATTGCACAGTCAAAGTCCACAACAATTGAGAATCTGTGGCAAGACTTGGAAATTGCTGTTCACTGATGCTCTCCCTCCAATCTGACAGAGCTTGAACTATTTTGTAAAGAAGAATGGACAAAAATTTTCAGTCTCCTAGATGTGCCAAGCTGGTAGAGACATACCCAAAAAGACTTGCAGCTGTAATTGCAGCGACCGGTGGCTCTACAGAGTATTTACTCAGGGGGACTGAATACAAATGCACGCCATACTTTTCAGATATTTATTAGTAAAAAAATGTTTAAAAGCATTTATCATTTTCCGTCCACTTCACAATTATGGGCGACTTTGTGTTGGTCTATCACATAAAATCCCAATAAAATATATTTACCTTTGGTAAACATGACAAAATGTGGAAAATTTCAAGGGGTATGAATACTTTTTCACGGCACTGTATTTTCTTCACAATAGCCTGAAGAACATTGTACCTGACATCAGTGGATCACAAGTGCTATATCGGGCTCCTGCAGACATGTTGTCTTGCTAGTACCTCTA